CTCACACGACGCTCTTCCGATCTTGAATATACTTAATACGATAATGGATACAGTGGAATTAAATAATCTAAAAAGAATCCTTAAAAAGGCAGCAAATATTACTAAAAAAAAATTAGACGCATCGAAAAAACCTCAGCATTGGGAGAACTTGGTAGAAGAGCTCAAATTATACACAGCTTATTTAAATAATGATCTTAATCAAGTATATAAGTGTATCACGTTTTTTAAAGATCGCGAGGATTTTATCACAGAGTTTCGTGCAATAAGCATCTGGTTGAAAATCTCTCTAACCAACATTCGCGCCAACTACTGGTATTGGTTAAAATTTCTGTTGAGATTACATAAATTAGTAGTTCCGTTTATGTCCCTGCATAATAATGTTGAAAAAGCAGAAAAAATATGCAAGGATTTCGAAAAGATTTTTGTTGTGGATTCTGTGGATAAAAAAAAGAATAAACGACAATTCTCCTTTGACAATCTTCTCATTATAAATAAAATCAATACAAAAGAGGAGTATTGGCAAGTTTATGAGAAGGACATCATTTACCGTGCGATCTCCAAATCACTTTCTTCTTATATTAGAGAACTCATATTGAAAACTGATGAGGTTGGTAGAAATATTCCGGAAATAGCTTCTGAAGTATGTAATGAGCTTTCGTTCTCGGGTGAATGCCAAAAGTCAGACTGTCGAGGACATCACGTGAAGCCAACGCCATTAATTCTGTACGATCGTCTGAAGCTTGCATCTCTTCAATATGCCGTAATACGTCAATTAGATATGATAAACAAAGAATTTAATTATTTACAAAGATTTTGGACAGAAAATCTTATCAAAAATCATTTTCGATTTCAGTCTCCACAAATAAGTTGCCCAGAAGCAACTGATTTAGCGATTTCTGAAATGTATACCAGCGTATACGATGGGTTCATTGAGTTCATTTATAGAAAATGGTTAGATGAAGAGTTTAATCCTATCGACTTTGCAAGATTACTAAAATACCTATTTGTTTCTATACAACTGCGAAGAGATAAATTAATCTTTAGGAAATTTCATGATAAAATGTCAGAGAACAAATGCCTTCATGAGGAAATTATGGAAAAACTTTCATCATTTATCCTATCATTATATCCTATATATCCTGAACATACTATAAGATCTATCTCCTTTGATAACATATTAGAGTTCATTGATTATGCCATAAAAAATTCCGAATCTGTTAAATTAAATTCATTTGACGCATTCGGGGACTTTACGTCCCTTATGGAGCTAGTTACATCACTGATTTTTGCAACTAGCCTAAAAGATTTAGATTTTTGTCTTCCTCGAAGT